TAGGCACTAGAATGCCCGAGTTGCTTCTGAAGGTGGGATGGATCCGAGTAACGAAAGAAGCAGTTCCATCTCACCTCATCAAAGCATATTCATCCCACCCAAATTTCTTAAGACTTTATGCTAGCAATCGAATTCTTTGGCGCTTTAACATCTAAATTCTATCCAATTAATGTGGTTTAGTAAAAATGCATCACGGCCATGAGGCCTACAAAAGTGACCAAGCTGAATGAGTTTTGAAGCATTTCGAGGCTACCCAACGAGTAGAAAAGGCAGTAAGTAGAGCTGAATACATGTCTTCCAAGGTGAACAAAGTGATTAGACCTGAGCATGGCCTGAAGGTCAGTCCACTAGTACATAAGCCAAGCTTACCCTAAAGTGATGGCCGCATAAACAAGGTGTTATAAGTTTGTCGTGTTAGATTTTAAATCGATTTTCAAACGCAAGACAAATTACTACTTATGATGTAGGTAGATAGTGGCGAGATGAGAGGTAGTTTCTCCCCTAAAGTCGCCATTCTTATTTGCCAATGTTCGCACCAACAACAAATGCCGTGCTGTAAATGTGATATGCTGTATATGTTTAAATAGGTAAATTGACTGCGACCTCTGTTTTGTTTGAATCTACTCTATCAGAAACGTATTTACAGGTGCTCGCGAATCGGTATGGTTCTACGTTTTAGTTCCTATCGGGCGGTTTTCACAGTCGACCCTCAATATAAAGCAGGGTAGTTTAATTGTGCTTTCGAAAGTTTGGGTCTCGGGTCGGCTAATTTCTATGTTTTATGGGAAGTTTTTAGTAAACATTGAGTCTGTTGCCATAACTAGCGCAATTAGTTGCTTCGTTGTTTTGGTTTTGTGAAGTGACTTGATCTTTTCGCTCTTTCAGCCATGGTTATAGTGTTTTTCTTCCTCCTTCTTATCGTACCTTGTCAGAATGGTTCTCCTACGTGGCCTCCCAAGGTCGGCACCTACGATCAAGTAGTTTCACACTTCGACTTTCACTTTCATCCCCTCACATTTAAACAGCGTTTTGTGTACGAAGGTATGCAAATTCTCCCTGTTGTGAATTATTTCAGATCGTTGGTATAAACCCGGTTTTCCAATATTTTTTTACTGCGGAAATGAAGGCAATATTATGGAATTCTGGAATAATACGGGTTTTGTGTTTGACATTGCTCCAATGTTTAATGCGCTTGTTGTGTTCGGAGAACACGTAATTCCATTTTATACGAACTTATTAGAGATGAGGCGACGTAGCGTTACTATGGCGAGTCGACGCCATTTTTCAACAGCTTTGTTCAGCCATACATAGGATTCCTTTCAATCGAGGAGGCTATGGCAGATTTCGCGGATTTAATAGCTGAGCTGAAGATTGAGTTCAACGCAACCTCGTCTCCAGTTATTGCCTTTGGTGGAAGGTGTTGTGGCACTTATTAATTATTTCTGACTAGTTATGGTGGCATGCTGGCGGCCTACATGAGGCTTCGCTACCCTCATATAATTACTGGTGCAATCGCTGCCAGCGCTCCCTTAAAGTGGGTTTCTGGCGAGGAAAATCTGCACCCGTTTTTCGAGTCAATTAAGGAGGTCTGTTTTAACAAATAATCTTTTTAATTTGCTTCTTCGTAGATTTACTCTGATACAAATGAATCGTGCGTTCTCGTCATACAGGCCGCCTATTCGGAAATTCTTAAGCGGAGCCAGGATGGAAGAAGTGGTGGGTGTTATCGGTCTGCGTTTGAGTTTTGCTTGAGCAAATCCTGTTATATGATTTGGGAAAACCATCATTGTTAGCAGAATTTTCACAAGGTTTACTTCCTTGAAATTTTGCCCATTCTGGATTAACTTTAGCATTATTCCGACGTGTCGATGAGTCATTTTTACTTTTACAAGGTTTTTTTCGACATAGTATTTAAATCCGAACTGTGCCGTAAATATGGCATTGATCTTGGTGATGGTCATTATCTTGAAGCAAAATGAAGTAACGTTTGTTGCCACTTTAAGTTTAGAAATCGTTTGCCAAATTTAGTATGTTATGTTAAATGCAAGTTGTTTCACCGCCAGCTAGTAGGAAATTGACTGAAAGTCTTTGTTAGGTTTGAAAAATATAACAATGGAATTGAATCTATGCAATACATTGGAGACAGAACAAGATTTGGATTGGATGCTTCGATGGTCGCGCAATGCCTTCGTGTTGATGAGTATGATGAACTATCCCTATGCTAGCTACCATCTGCCTGCGAATCCTGTCAACGTATCCTGCAACAAGGCCATCGAGTTTGGCACCCGAAGTCCTCTGACTGGGCTCAGAGAAGCCGTCGGCGTCTTCTACGATCGCAGTTCGGGTTTGTGAAACTGAATTTAATTTTTACATCATTAAAACGGTTTATCACTTCTCTGAATAACTACAGTCTTCCTAGATGCAGATAGTTTGTTTAGTTTTCCAAGGATATTTGATGGCACGTCCAGTTGAAACTTAGTCATCCCAAAGACAACTGTATGGTTTTCGCTCCGTGTGGGCAATTGGAAAGCCAATTCTTCACCTCTAGTGCACTGCAGTTTACTATCTTAGATCGTTGTGTTTAACTACCAGTTTCACGTCAAGTGAGTTCACAGATGTTTATCTCATGCTTGTATGTATCACT